AGAACGAGCTGCCGCAGAGCTACCTCAACGAGATCGCCGACCACCTGACGAAGAGAGCGGGAGAGAGCGCGCCTACGATCGGGTGAGTGAGTGAGTGAGTGAGTGAGTGATGTCTTCCTTCTTTCCTTCCTTCCTTCCCGTGGCCACGATCAAGATTGCGCATTCAACCAACAACAGCGACAGCAAGGCATGGCGTGGACCACAAAAGCGCAAAAGCGAAATCACATCGTCGCCCCAAGTGTGGGGGGGGCGTACTCTTATGTTTTGCAAGCCTTAGCGGGTAGACCATCAGCCACGTGTCCTCGAGAGGATGGAGCTTTGGATCAAAAATGTTTTCCCTAGCCTGTCTACATCACTCCCCGCCTTCAGCTCACTTCCTATGCCCCAGTAAAGCTACCTTTTTCTCCTGCTCTGGGCCTTTTTTTTTTCTTCCTCTTGCTGCATCCTGCCGGCTGCTCTGTCCGTCGCCATTTGTTTGTGAGCGGGAACGTTGTGCGTGGCCGCTCTATTAATAGTTCAATATTTTTACCAGAGGACGTCACGTAGGGGAGTGAAATGAACCATATGCCGCACTACTTATCAACTACAGGTGTGCTGCTTTGCTACGCCAAGAGCACCATTGAACGACTGAATCGATCCCCCGCCCCTGCACATGCACATGCTTCCGTCTGTGTTGCTTTTTTCTGTCAGCATGGACGCTGGCGCAGCAGGCGCGGCGGCAGCGGCTGGTTTCAGCGGCGTCGGCGACCCCACCGGCTTCGCGAACTCCGCGCCGCCGCCGCGGGGGCTGGGGGGTGGGGCGGGCGCGGCTTCGGGGGTTGGGGGGGGGCACTTCCCCGTGACCACCTATGCGACGTTCGAGACAGGGGTGCTGTCGAAGGTGGAAGGCAAGATACGAGAGCTGGATGCCGGGCTTCCGGACGGGGTGAAGGTGCGCGGGAAACGAATGGCCGAGGGGGGGGCGTCTTTGTGTGTGCGTGTGTGTGTGAATTTACATCGACCGCGTTTACCTGCTAGCCAATGAGAAGACGCAAGTCTCACATTGTGGGTGTGTAGACGTCAACGTTGCCGCCTGTCCGTTCGATGCAAACCGACTGTTGAGTTGGGTATCAGCAACGTCACGCCCTCGCTACAGCATATCACGAATGTTATTATTTGCGTAGAAAACCTACTGCCCGGCGGCCTGTGGGAGGAGTAGCCAAGACTACGATGGTATCTAATCATCTTCGATCCTCCTTTCTGTCGTTCTTGGCTAACGGAAACACCATCCCTTGGATGGTGTTGTCGGAGGTGGTATACGAGTGCGTCTTCCGTAATCCCAAGAGTTTCACCTCTGACATGTGTTGATCAACGCTTTCGCAGTTCTAGCTTATATTCACGAATTTCACCTCTGACAATTGAGTACGAACATGTACCCCCGACTCAAGCATGACTTCGACCGAATATGAAACTGGTCTCAGATGTCAGAGAGCGAGTCGGCGTCGCTGGGATCACTGTCGGCTACCCTCGCGGCAAGCAGCAGATATCACATCTCCAAGATCGCGCCGCAAGAGCTGGCTCTGCTGACGCGGCTTGTGTCGGGTTGGTGAGTACCGGAGGCGATGTTGATGGTGTTGTTGCTGTTGCTGCTGCTGCTGCTGCGATTTCGGGTGGAACTCCTGCGATATGCGGTCGATTCCGCCGTCCTATGCTCTTGTCCTTTTGAGGACGCGTGGTCAGTTGTGTTATCAAGTAAGGCATGCCTAACACTAGTACGCCCCCCCTCCGTACCCCCCCCCGTCGCCGGTAAGGCCGGTCGACAAGTGTTTCCCTTGCATCGACTTGTGCCGACTAGCGGCGCTCCACCCTCATTTCGCGGAGGTGCTGGCTCTTGCTGAGACCGGGGGCGGTGGCGGCGGCGGAGGTCTGATGAAGGCGGTGACAGACAAGCTCGGCGAAGGGAAGGGTCTGGTGAGCCTTTTTTCATCAATGCTGTCTGTCTGGAGTTCTTGCCTCCCGTTACAATATCCCGGATTCATCGATACCCTGGATCGATGCTGCTGTGTAGAAGTAGGTAGAAAGGCACTCGACGCTGAGGGGATCGTTTTAGTAGCTTCACGAAACGCCAGCGCGGTGCGCACCGTATCGAAAACAACTTCTGCACCAAACGGGGAAATGGCGCGACGTTCGCACAATCCGGTTTTCACCCACGAAACGAGCCGCCCCTGCCCCGCCGACGGAGGGGCACGTGAATCACGTCGTGCAGCCCCCCCTCTGACCAGCAACAAGCTGCAAGGCTTTGACGCGTCTCCTTCAACTTTGGTTGCAACTCGAACGGGTAGTCTCTTCGGGGTTGTATTGTTTTCTACTCGTAGGTAAAAAACAAAGGTTGAACTGCTCTACTTGTACCTCGTTTGCTGTCGTGTCGAGGGTGGCAAGTGGCGGAATGCTCGAGAGACGGAGAGGGGGCTCGGGGGGAGACGCACCGAATCGACACCCCGTACAAGACACGCCCTCTACTTGCCCTATCACGAAAAGAACCCCAACATGAGTAACACGCTTGTCACCCGCCTTTCCCTTCCCTTCGTCTCGTGCTGCCTGCTCTTCTTGGCACCGTGCTGCCCAACCCCCCGATTGTCGGCTGCCTGCTGGCTCGGCCCGCGGTTGTACACGAACTTTCTCCGCGCTGGGCTGTGATGGGGGCTGCGATGATAATCCGTAATGCTTGCTGCTGCGGTGAACTGTGGCCGCGCCTAGATGCCGGTGGTCCTGTGCGGGCTGCGTTTTTTCAGCAACCTCTTCCGGCACCGATCATCCAAGAAGGTTGTTCTGGGACACGCTTCGACGATTCTGGACGCTGCTTCGGACCAGGTTTGATTTCGTCATTTCCACCGCGTCCTCTTCTCGGCCCCAGTTGTTGTTTTATTGTTATGTTTTTTTCTCGCCCTCAAGCCCTTCTTATTTTGCTGGTTGTAGGTTGTCTGATAGGCTGTTATCACGCACCCGCCGGCTCCGACCAGGCCATTTGAATGGACCGTTTTGTTGTTTCTCTGCTTGGTCTCCCTATTTTGTTTTTCTGTAATTTTACATAGTTTTATTTTCAAGTAATGTCGAGTTTGGTGGTGCCGGTTCGCGTATTCGATCCAGGTTCTCCTCTTGTCGTCATGTCCCGGTTCACCTCCATCTCTTACGCTCCTCCTCTCTCTGCCGTCCTCCCTGTTGGTGCCCGTCGTCCTTTTTGTTTTGCGCGTTGGTCGGTCGGTGATGGCGTCGTGTCTTTCTTACAAGGCGGGCAGCGGCGGGGTGGCCAACAAGACGGTCAAGCTCGCCCTCGCCACCCTCTTCCTCAACCTTGCAGTGGCGTCCCACCAGGAGGCACTGACGCCGGGCCTCGGGGACGCCTACCAGCAGCTGGTGGCGCTCTACTCGGAGGTGCTGGGCGGGGCGACGGCGACCTCTGGTGACGACGCGTTGTACCGGTCGCTCGCGGGTCTCGGGACTCTGGTAACGGTGAGGGATGATGGTGTATGACAGGCTTTTCTGGCTTGGTTGTGCGTGTGTGTGTGTGTGTGTGTGTGTGTGTGTGTGTGTTTTGTTTTTTTGTCCTACCTCAGCCTGGAATGTTAGTTTCGAGAAGAAAAGACCGGAATCGCCTCTCAGGGTTGGAAGAGATGGATTAAAAGGTCTGTAGTGTTTTGACCTATCAGCTTCGAGAGCGGGAGTTGCCTTCATGCTTGGTCGGAAGAGATGGCCTCGTCTTTCGTTGGACGACTATCTACTATGGCTGGTGGTGCACATATGCATTGCTAGCGTTTGTTGTTGTCCTCGTCGTTGCCCGACGGTATATAGAAGTCGAAATCAAACCATTGGACCAGTTAGCGCTTAGAAGCCGAAATCAAACCATTAGCGCTGACCAGGCTAAATAGTTTCTTGATTTCGGCTCTATCATATAGATCTCAGCTACATGATGTTCCTGACACTCTTCCTCCTCCCATTCCTACTCTTGCTACCATCTGTCCTCTCCCTCTCCGGGTGGGTGGTGGCACCTGAAATACGTGAACAACACCAGGCGGGACCGGTTGTGCTGCAGGTTGCGAAGGACTTGGATATGGCAGATACGGTCAAGGCGGCTCAGGAAGGTGCGGCGGGCTATTTTGCACTCGTCAAGTCTCGGGTGGAATCGTTCTGAGCAGTGCCACGTATGCTGTTGCTATTATAGTGTTGTTTTTGCTGCTGCTGCTTCTGCCGCTGCCACAATCGCGCATGCATGGTGCCAGTTTGTTACTGTCTGTTGTCCCCTCCGGGTCGAGCCAACCCGTCGCAAGAGCATGTCCTCGATGTCGAGTGCACCGTTTCACTCACTAACCAAGTTCGCGCTCGGGCACCAAAAAACGTCCGGTCAACATGGTCTGATTCGTGGAGGAAACGGTTTCAAATCGAGCAAGTTGCACGACGCCCCCCTCCAGGCCCACTCGATATTCCGCGCCGTGCTCACGTACACCCCCCCGCGCTTCCTTGCTTGTGTTTGTGCCTTTACCTTTGGGGGTGGGTCTGAAAGGGCGAACTGATCCAAATGTGGTGCAGTGCGCCAAGGCGCTTCTGGCCGTGCTTCGCTGAGCGACGACCACTAAAGACGGGGAGATCATGGCGGGGTCTTGGAGCGAAGAATTTCGTTTGTCGGTGTTTGTGCGGAGAGAAGAGACGACGGCCGAGTCATGTCGACACCCGCGGTAGTTGGATTTTCCGCATACGTGTTTGGTAGACCGTGTTGGCAGGCTTGGGACACCTCTTTCATGGGGTGTTTCTGTTGGGCACAAGGTGCACCGCCCGCTTATCCATTCGTAGTACATGCAGCGCAAGAGAGAAAAAAAAAACATGTTTCTCGAGAAAAGCGACCGCAGTTCCTCTTCCTCGTGTTGGCTTCCCCGTGTCGGAATGGGGGGGGGGG